TATCTTTGGCTATGTGTATTTTCACCAAAAAAAAAAGGTTGAGAAGTTAGAGGGTTGACATGTTGTGGGGTTGTTAACCAATGTCATAAAACAATATATTGTGTACTACTGTTTCATGAGAAACTATTTGTTCTGTAAGCTTTCACCTGAAGTACAATTAAAAAAAAAAAAATCCCCAAAAAATAAAAAAACTATGCTATGCCAATTGACCTAGATGTCCCCCGAGACTATGGTTCCCAATCCTCAGCCCCAGTAACTCGGTCCCTCAAGGAGTCTGGATGTGTCTAGGAAGCTTCTATCACTTTGCCTTGGTCAAGTTGTGCTGACTTTCCCTATATTGTGTGTTGTCTTTCCCTCTACCAAAGTTAACATTTGTCTACTATCTAGTTAGTGATTTCATCTCCCCATTCCTCCCATCCTTCGTAACTATCAAAGATTTTTTTTTCTGTGTGTAAACCTCTTCTTGAGTTTTTATAATGGTGGTCTCATACAGTATTTGTCTTTTTGTGATTCACTTATTTCACTCAGCATAATGCCCTCCAGATTCATCCACGTTGTGAGATATTTCACGGATTCACCATTGTTCTTTATTGTTGTATAGTATTCCATCGTGTGTATGTACCATAATTTGTTTATCCATTCATCTATTGATGGGCACTTAGGTTGTTTCCATCTTTTTGCTATTGTGAACACTGCTGCAGTGAACATGGGTGTGCGTATGTCTATTCGTGTGACGCCTCTTATATATCCTAGACTGCTGGATCATATGGTATTTCTATTTCTAGCTTTTCAAGGAGGCGCCACATCGTTTTCCATAGTGGTTGTACCATTTTACATTCCCACCAGCAGTGCGTAAGAGTTCAAATCTCCCCGCAACCTCTCCAACATTTGACCTCCTTTTGATGAAAAAGTTTCAATCGGCATCAGTATTCACAAGATAAACATTAAAAATACATGCATTTTCGGCCCCCAGACACCCTTTTAGCTCAGCGGTGAAGTCACTTCCGAGGTTTACCGTTCAGCCGGGTATTGGACAGCCCCATAAAACAAAACGGGACTAATGAGGCACAGCAGTCCAGAGACAAGGACTAGAAGGCAGAAGGGGACAGGAAAACTGGTGATAAGGAACCCAAGGCTGAGTAAGGACAGTGTTGGCATGTAGTGGGGTTGTTAACCATTGTCACAGGGCAACATGTGTACTGTTTAATGAGAAACGATTTTGTTCTGTAAACCTTCATCTAACATGAGAATAGCAGCACAACTGGAAAAACGTAATCGACGTCACTGAATTATGCATGTAGAAATTTTTGAAATGGTGTATCTTTGGCTATGTATATTTTCACCAAAAAAAAAAAAGTTGAGAAGGGAGAGTGTTGACATTTCATGGGGTTGTTAACCAATGTCATAAAACAGTATGTGTACTGACTGTTTCATGAGAAACTATTTGTTCTATAAACCTTCACCTGAAGTACACACACACACAAAAAACATACATTTTCTTAGAGAAAATGTATACTTAACAGCAAATCAAAATGTGGTAAAAAGTTTCCAAATATTTTCATATGCAACCATAATTAAAGAATCAGTATAGCTGCAATATTAACTTCTTTAAAATTCCAATATGGTTATCAATAATTAAAATGGACTTTTACCTAATAGCAGTTCATATCCTTGAAGCATTTTTTCTTTTAAATAGTTTTTATTCAATAAATACATCTTTTTACACTCTCGGACACACACATACAAATGCAATTCAAAATTTTCAATTAATTTTTAGTTATGTTATAGATAATTACTGCTATGATTTCCATAAATCATCATCCAACAAGTGTCTTATGAAATGGGTAGGGTTCTCAGTATATTGCATGTGTAGACCATACCGTAATATGTAAGACCCCAGAAAGGAAAGAGTCACTGAGACTCCATAGAAACCCTTTTTTTTTTGACAAGACAAACCTCTTTCCAAGCAGCCTGCTAAGAAGGTTGAGCACAACCAACGACCTACCTAAAGAACCCCTGGTCTGTTGGTTGTTGGGTGGTATGTTTTCCTTAGCCATGGAGATTAATATTCTACTGTTTTCAGAAAGCTTCTCTGATGCTTTTCCCTGAAAAAGACATAATATTTACAAAAGCAAGGGAGAAAAAAAACCACAAAATAAACAATTCGTCTCAATATTTTTATTAAACAGCTTGACGAAATTACACAGTATACCATAAAAAAAAGTTAAGTGTAAGGTTTTCAGAATTAACCAAAGATATTTAAATAACATAATAAATATCCTAATATTTAACTCATTCATTTATCAACAAATATTTCAATGAGCTCCTACTATGTGCTAGGCACTGTCCCAGGCCTTGGAAATACCTGAATAAATAAAATATACAAGAATCTCTACCCTCATGGAGCTCATAAACTACTGGGGAGACACACAATAAATATAACAGATTATTAGATTATGTGCTATATAGAGAGTGCTAGGGAGGGGCTATGGAAAAAAATATAGCAGGGTAAGGAGGAAGTACTGGGCCTCACCAGCAGGTGATACTTGAGTTAAGACTTAAAGATAATTATTTATGTACTCTTTAATACTAGAAATTATAATAAAGCTCTATGTAAAGCTACATAATAACTCTTTCCAAAAATTGTAAGTTGCTCCTAAGTAATGCAGAGTGCTTAAGAGCATAGACTTTAGAGCTTGTTCAAATCCTGAACCCACCACAGTGTATACCTGGGCAAATTACTTAATCCCTTTAAGCCTCAGTTTCTTGGTCTGCGAAACAAAAATATTCTGCCAATTTTACAGATATATTATGATTAAATGAGATAATACACATGACGTATATAGCAGCTATTTTTGAAGGAAGGCAACCTAACACAGTGGTTAAAGGAAAAGCACTGGAGTCAGGCTGCCAGAGATCAAATTCTAGTTTCACCGTTATACTAATTCTATCACCTTAGTCTCATTACTTCTCCATGTCTGTTTTACTCATCTGGAAAATGACAATCACAGTACTTATTTTACTGTGAAATAGAAATGAAATCTCTTAAAATTATGTCTGATCCATAGTTAACAATAAATGTTAGGTTTATAATTAGAACAATTATTATTTATCATCTCAACAAGAATACCTTTGTCCAAGACATCTGCTAAACCAGATGAGACACTGGGCAGCAGGAGCAAACCAGGATTGTCTTGGGCAAATTAATATGTATGGTTAGTCTAGTTATGATGGACCATATTGCACAGATTAATCCACAGCCTATATCTTATTACATACTCTGAGCCCGTGAGACAAGGTGCCACATCTGTCTGGATTAGTGCTATAATTCTCACAGCCCAGCACACTACCTAGCACAGACTCAATAAATGTTTGCTAAATGGACGAATCACTGTCTCGCCAAAACTAGGAAAGCTTTAAGAAAACTTTTTTCAGACACTGCTTTGAAAAACAATCATTTTAACAGATGTATAGTCTGAGAAGCAAACATTAGCAAATAAGAAAGACTACCCTTAATTCACTTTGTAGATTCAAAAAAAAAAAAAAAATCAAGACATTCATTCAGTAAATAAACATTCTTACATAGATTATGAGAACCTGCTTTTATATCTACTCCGTTTTGTCTTGGAAGTTCTTTGTACTAGAACCAGTCTCCTAACCATTTCACAAAGTACATAAATTATTAATTAAAACTCTAGTAGGAAGGGAGAAACAGTATAAGATACAAAACACCACAAAGGAAAAACTGCATCTGAAATCTTGTCCAGAGTCACAGGCTCTCGGAGTTAGAATGGTAGCAAATCCAAACAAAAGTATGAAACAGAAGATTCTCATATAAGAGCAGATGCTTCGCATTTTTCACACAGCTAACTTTTAACATTAATAAACGAGTTGGAAGAATATTAGTAACCTTACCTTCATTTCCATGTAAGGTGGATCACTTTCCAACTCTGCTTTGTCTTTGGCCAATTTGGCTTTTCGCTCTTCGATAAATTCATCCAAATTCTCAGCCATTTTTCAGAATCTAAAAACAAAAAAACTGCAAACCAAAAAGCTATAGTGAGTGCAGCTATATCAGTATTTTCAGTCAAATTATAAAAGTGCAGGGTTAATCTACATTTAGTATTCAAATTTACTTATCAAATTAACTTCAGACTTAAGCCTGACCATGAAAATGCCTGCCTGCTTCCTGTCCCAACTCCTCCCAAAAAACCTAAAGCACATTTTAAAGTATGTAAAAAATAAAAAGGAAACAAACCACCACCACAATCCCCATCAAAAAAACCAAATCCACTGCCACTGAGTCGGTTAAAACTCATAGCGACCCCATCAGGTTTCCAAGGCTGTAACTCTGGACTGAAGCAGACTGCCACATCTTTCTCCCACGGAGCCACTAGTGGTTTCCAACTGCTGACCTTTCAGTTAGCTGTCGATCGCTTTAACCACTGTGCCACCAGGGCTTCTTATCATCCCCACACACACCCCAAAAAGCGAAAAAGAGAAAAAGAAAAAAGTTTAATCTTTAAGTCAAAGCACTTAAAAGAAAACAACAACAACCAAAAGAGGTTTTAACTATTTGGAGATAACTTCAAACTTACAGAAAAATTGCAAGAATAAGAACAGTACAAAAAGCACCTGTACACTCTTTACCGATTCGCCTATTGCTAACATTTTGCCCCATTTGCTTTATCATTTGTTCGTGCACACAAGTTCACTCTCTCTACGTGCACGTATGGGCGCACACACACAATTTTTTCTACAACTATTCAGAAGATGGATTACTCATCTAATGGCCCTTTACCCCTAAACACTTCCGTGCATATTTCTTAAGAATTGAGTAATTCTCTTACACATAATCTCAATATTATCGATTTCAGTAACGTTGATTTTTTAATCTAATCTACTGTCCATATTCCAGTTTTGTCAACGTATCCTTGTAAGTCCCTCATAGTATTTTTTTCACTCTCCAGTACAGGATCCAGTCTAAATAAGTATTGCGTTTCATTGTTATGTCTTTTTTTGCTATTGTTGTGTGCCGCGGAGTTGATTCTGACTCAGAGTGAACCTATATGAGAACGTAGAACTGCCCAGTAGGGTTTATGCTGTAATCTTATGACAGCAGATTGCCAGCTCTTTTCTCTTGCAGAGCTGGCTGTAGGTTTGAACTGTTAACCATTCTGTTAGCAGCTGAACACTTAATCATTGAGCCACTAAAAAAACAATAAACAAAACCAAACCCATTGCCATCGAGGGGATTCCAACTCATAGAGACCCTATAAGACAGAGTAGAACTGCCTCATAGGGTTTCCAAGGCTGTACTCTTTAGAGAAGGAGCCTTGGTGGTACAGTAGTTAAGTGCTCAGCTAACCGAAAGGTTGACAGTTCGAACACACTAGCCGCTCCACCTCAAAAAAGATTACAGCCTAGAAAACCCTACGGGGCAGTTAGTTCTACTCCATCCTATAGGGTCGCTGTGTTGGAATCCACTGGATGGCACATAACAACAACCATCTTCACGGAAGTCAACTGCTATATATTTCTCCCAAAGACCAGCTGGTGGGTTTGACTGACCTTTCAGTTAGCAGCCGAGCACTTTAACCACCGCATCATCAGGGCTCTGTTATGTCTCTTTAAAACCAAAAAAACCACACTCGTTGCCGTCGAGTCAATTCCAACTCATAGTGACCCTATAGGACACAGCAGAACTGCCCCATAGGGCTTCCAAGGAGCATCTGGTGGATTCGAACTGCCAACCTTTCAGTTAGCAGCCGTAGCTCTTAACCACACCCTTTTTTAAATTTGGAACACTTTCACAACCTCCCTTTGTCTTTTATGACAGTGGCATTTTCTAATACAGCCCCTTCCCCACCCTTTTTAATAGAACATTCCTCATTTGGGGTTTCTTCATGACTGAATTCAGGTTATGCAGTCTCATCAGGAAAACTAGTTAGGTTATGTTGTGTGCTTCTCAGGGTGTCAACAACAGAGACACATGATGTCCATCTACCCCTCATTAGTGACATGATTTTTGATTACCTGGTCAAGGTGGTATCTCATTTCTCCACTATTTTTCCCTTGTAATTAATAAAGAGTCTGTGGGGAGATATTTTCAGATCATACAAATATCCTGATCCTCACCAAAATTTCCTCCTAGATTTAGCACTGATTGGTGATGCCTGACTGATCCAATCTTTATTAGAATGATTGCAAAATGTTTATTTTTCCATTCTATCACTTCCTGCATATTTACCAGTCAGCACTTACCATTCTATTGTAAGCAAGAGCCCTTCCTTCTTCTCCATTTAACAGTTTATTATCAGTATGGAATCTTATAATCCTATTTTTTTCACTAAGATTTGGAATTGTTTCTAAATTCATTGTTTTTATTGGTAATTTACATACCATAAAATTCATCTATTTTAAGTAAAGAATTTCATGAATTTTAGTAAGTTCATCAGGTTGTGCAATTATCATCACAATCATGTTTTATAAAGCTTTCACCACCTCAGGAAGTTCCTTTGTGCCCCTCTGCAGTCAATCCCTGCTCCCACTCCAATTCAGGCTTTCTGTCTCCACAGTTCTGCCTACTCTAGAAACTTCATATAAATAGAGTCAAGAAATACATCTTTTGTTGTTCCTTATTCTTTTTATTGCTAAGTAGTATTCCATTGTCTGGGAATACCACGTTGTTTATCTGTTCACCTGGTGATGGACATGTGGGTTGTTGACATTTTTTGGCTATTACGAACAACGCTGCTATAAACATTTGTATACAGGTTTTTGTGTGGACGCGTTTTCAATACTCTGGGATACAAACCTAGGAATGGAAATGCTGGGTCATATATAACTCTATGTTTACAATTTTGAGGAACTGCTAAGCTGTTTACCGAAGCGGCTGCCACTTTACATTCTAACCAGCAACGTATAAGGGTTTCAACTCCTACACATCCTCACCAATCCTTGGTATTGTCAGTCTTTTTTATTTTATTCGATTGGGTGTATAGTGGTATCTCACTATGGTTTTAATTTGCATTTCTCTAAAGACTTGATGTTGAGTATATTTTCATGTGTTCATCTGTCATTCGTATATCCATATATACAACCATTGGCAAAGTGTATCTTTAAATCTTCTGCCCATTTTAAAATTAGATTGTTTTATTATTATTGATAAGATTTCTTTATATATACTGGATACAAGTTGTTTATCAAATGTTGCAAATACTTTCTCCAATTGTAATTTGTTTTTTAATTTTCTTAATGATGTCTTTTTTAAGAACAAAGTTTTTAATTTTTATTAAGTCCAATTTATTGATTTTTCATCAATTTATTATTATACTTTTCTGTCATAATAAGAAATCTTTGCCTAACCCAAAGTCACAAATATTTTCTTTTATGCTTTATTTTAGAAGTGCTATTGCTTTTTCTCTTATATTTAAGTCTATGATCCATTTGGAGATAATTTTTGCAAATGGTGTTTGGCAAGAGTCAAGGTCTTCATTTGTTTGTTTTCATATGGATACAAAATTATTCCAGCACTGTGATAGTTAAGATTGTGTGTCAACTCGTCTGGGCCATGATTCTCAGTGTTTATATGTGATCACTCCCATGACTGAATCTGCTGTGAGAAGCCAATTAGTTGAAAGGCTATTTCCTTGGGGGTGTGGTTTGTATCTGAATATAAGCAGATGTTCTGGCTTTTTGCTCTACTCTGGATCCTGCGGCTACCTCCTGTTCATCTGGCCTCCAGTTCTTGGGAATTGAGCTATCATCTTATCTGCCGATCCTGCGATTTGTCAATCTTCACAGCCTGTGAGCAGAGTCCTGCTTTCTGACCTGCTGATCTTGGGTTCACTGGCCCCTGCGGCTACATGAAACAGGAGAAGCCTCTATCCTAATCCACAGACTTGGAACGTTCTAGCCTCTACAACCACGTGAGCTGTTTCTTTGATATATATCTCTCTATAAATATATTTATATGCTTTACTGGTTTTGCTTCTCTAGAGAACCCAGCCTAAAACAAGCACCATTTTTTGAAAAAACTATTTTTTCCCCATTGAACCTTGAATTTTTTGAAATAAGTTTTTCAAAAACCCATAAAACTTAGTGATTGATTGGATGTGTGGTGAGAGAAGGAGGAACCACAAATGACCAAAATTTTAATGCCTAGAGACTATATGTGGACAGAATCCTCAACAGACAAATAGAAAAAGCTCGCTGGTTTGGAAAAGGTTTAGTTTAGATATTTTAAGTTGGAGATAGTAAGTCATCCTAAGGAAATTCTCAGTAGATGGTTAGAATTTCAAGACTAAAATTCAAGGAAGAGCATCACATTAGAGATGTTTATTTAAGAGTTACCTATTTCAAGATTGTGATGGTTAAGATTGTGTGTCAACTTGGCTGGGCCATGATTCTCAGTGTTTTAATGTAATCACTCCCATGATTGAATATACTGTGAGTAGCCAATCAGATGAAAGGGAGTCTCCTTGGGGGTGTGGCCCGCATCTGTATATAAGCAGACGTTCTGGCGTTTTGCTCTCTCTGGATCCTGCGGCTGTTTCCTGTCGTCTCATCTCCCATTCTTGGGACTTGAGCTGTCAGCTTATCTGTCAAACCTGGGATTCGTCGATCTGCACAGCCTGTGAGTGGGAGCCTTGCTCTCCGATCTGCCGATCCTGGGCTTGCCAGTTTCTGCGGCTGTGTGACTTGGGAGAGGTCTCTACCCTGATCCACGGACTTGGGACGTTCTAGCCCCTTACAATTGCATGAGTTGTTTCCTTGATATAATCTCTCTATATACATATATTTATACACTTTACTGGTTTTGCTTCTCTAGAGAACCCAGCCTAAGACAAAGATGATAGTTGAAGCCTTGAGAAATGAGCATAGACTGGGAAAAAGACAACCCAGGACTAATCCTGGGGCAATGTTTACTTGGGAGGCAGGGGAAAAGTAAGAGAAGAAAATATAAAACTGGACAAAATATAAAGAAGAAATAATTAAAAAGGGATATAAAGAGAAGCCAGTTGACATAATCTGTGG